ATTGCAGTCCGGTGAGGCGCGGGTGGTTCGCGGGTGGTGCGCGGGAGGGATGCGGGAGGGGCACGGGAGGGGCATGCAATTGGGTCAATGACTCACCATTGACCCAATTGTAACAGCTCATGATCAAATTTAAAGTACGTAACAATATGACCAGCAGCAACTCTTTATCGCCGGCAGTTTTAAATATACCTACTCGTATGTCGTAAATCGGCTACTTCTTGGGTTTCAATTTCAAAAGACTTTCCATATTAAACGTTTGTCACATTGACGTATACAACACGATCATTCTATCAAGATCTTAGACTAGGAAACAATATGACATCTTTAGAGCTTTATAAAGTTGTGCAACATCTGACAACTGACAAAGGCAGGCAGAAGGCAAGGGGGGGCGAGGCGGACGCGGGGGCAAGGCGGGCGCATTTGTCGTCGTTCTAAGATAACGCTTCTCGTCGCCGCGCGTCGTGCCACTCAAATACCGCGCCTCTCTTATCAGACACAAGACATTAAAGAAAGTTCTATCATGTTACATGATTACTTCATATTTTTTGTATAATATACAGGGTGTCCCAAAAGGTTACGTACATAGGGAGGGGGATGATAAGGGTGGTCACAAGGTTCACCAGAAAAATAAAATAACAATTCCCCTCTGGGTATTAAAAAAAATAAATGGCATTTTTTAAAAACTTAATAATGTTACACCTTCTGGGGCAATTTTAATTTTCTTTTAAATCTTTGTTAGTTTTATTGTTTTTTTATTTCATATTGATAAAGGGTTATTGACGATAACATAATAGCTAGAAGGTGTAAAATTTTTAAGTTTTTAAAAAATGCCCTTTATTTTTTTAATACCCAGAGGGGAATTTTTATTTTATTTTTCTGGTGACCCTTGTGACCACCCCTAACATCCCCTTCCTATGTACGTAACCTTTTGGGACACCCTGTATAGTCGTTTAAAGCATAATATTTGCTGATAACAAATAATAACATAGCAAGTTTGCCACTTGCGGTACTGTAATTTCGCGATATTAGTTTATAATTTTTATATCTCTACTTCTTAACCAGGATCAAACTTCAAATAAATTTACGATAAGTGAACGAAGTGTTGCATAATATAGTTTGAACGAGCAACACGACAGAGGCAAGTCTATTCCTTATATCGCTGTCTCGCTCTTGCGCTATGTCGTATGCACGTGATTCGCATGCTACCGACGCCACCGCCCGCCCGCTACCCGCGACTAGCACCGCGCATCCCACGCGCTTCCCTTGCGCCCTCGTCCCGCGATCCACACCTTAGGTATATCGTGCACTTTTATTTCATAAATATTTTTTTCGGGCAGAAAGGTAAATTATATATTTATTACCTGTCGCCTGCGATTCCGTCCGCGCGGAATTATATGTGTTCTGTAATTCTATGTGTTCTTCCAGACTATATTCTATATCCACGCCAAATTGTATCGAGATCCGTTCAGTTGTTCTGGAGATACCTTCAAACATCCATCCTTCCATCCATCTAAACATTCGCATTTATAATATTAGTAAGATAAGATAATAGTAAGAAGTAAGATATATAACACGGAGCGTCGGTGGCTCAGGGATTAAGCACTTGAGTCGTAATCTACAGGTTTTGGGTTCCAATCCCGTCACCAATACCAATGTGTTTTTCGCTACACATATGTACATTACCTGCGCATAGTCAGAAAGAAATTCAAAGATATCTGTGAAGTCCACCAACCATCATTTGACTAGCGTAGTCGACTATGGCCTAGCCACCCCTAACTCAGACTAGGCTCCGAGCCCCTCAGTGGGGACTTGTAGTGATGTTTGGGGGCTGATGATGATATATAGAAAGACTGAAAAACTTTTGCTTAACACTACGTTATTATCTCAAACCTAAACTTGAATGGATTCACAGGAATTTTGTAAGAATTGAATTCAGAAAGACAGCAGACTGGTGTGCGGAGTGCGGAGTGCGGCGCGGCGAGCGTGTAGTGCTGCTACGCCGATACGCCGACATTCTGTAGCGCGCCACTCAAAATCCCACAAAAAAAACTAACTATAATGAACTTAATACTTATTTCAAAATAACACCTTTTTAAACTTGGTTCTCCTTTTTATGTTCAATAATGTAAACTATATACGCTTGTCTCTTCTCGATTATAACTCGAAAAACGATTGGATTATTTGTTATAACGATTAAAGAAGGAAGTAGGTATCATCTGCTGGAAACTCAATGGAGCACCCATACCTGCATCTATCAAACGCGAAAAACATGGAGTGTCGATCGAGAGTTATGTACATAGACAAAAACTTGTAAAGTGTGACAACTGTCACGATTTATTGTCATAATATGTAACTTTTAACAGTTAGGTTGTCCAGCAAGCATGAATTGCGTGTTGAGGAAAGGAGAGAAGCGCGAGACAGCGCAGCGCGCGCCGACCTACTTCGCGCCTCGCGAATTCAAATCGATACGTCTCGCGTTGATGCTAAATTTATATACATTTATATTTTATCGAAACAAATTAATTATTTATTCGCCGAATGATGTAATAAAATGTAAGAGCCGGACTCGCTTGCAGCGTCACTGCGCCGCCGGCAGTCACCGCCTTGGTCTTGATGTGTACGAGTTGAAAACATTAGGATGACGGCCAAAATGTGGTTATTCCTTTTTAAAATATTTATACAAAACATTTAAGTACATAAGAAATCCTCTGTATTCTATTAACTGCACTACTTTTCTCATTAGCTCTTTGAGTTCCCCCACAACACACCCACAACACAGCCGGCCGATGGGGTTGTTTGACGGAGGCAACTTTTAAGCAGTCTCCATTTCCTACTCTTTTCTAATAATAAAATATAGTAGTAGTCGTGGATTTGATTTAATAAAAAGTGAAATATCCTTTGCGTATGGGCCGGGCCGCTTGCTCGTTTGCTACATTTGGCTATGATACAAGAAATTTGTTTTCCAAAACAAACTATTTAGTGATCCGTGATATTTATAGGTTTTTGTCTTCTCACAATATCACTAAAAACAGATTATAATGACCTCGGCGGGCGTCATCATGACGTGGGCAGCTCGTATTATTATAACTATTTCAGAAAATGACGACAGGGCATCAATCTCGCCGGAAATCATCAAAGTAAATTTAAACTGATAATAATTTATCTAAATTTAAAATGAAATATTATGGTTGAACCATTATACAGGAAGGTTCATTGGGTGTCACTACCTCGTCTCGCCGCTGAAGGAAATCAAAAGTAATCGTGTTTCCTGCACGGTGGCTCGAGGTTGCCGCGCCGGAAATCTAAGGCTGATCGATTGCAGCCGCAGCCCGATCCCGTCCCCGGCTGCAGGCTGCCTCTCACACATCTAGAGACATCGAGCTTGCACTTTATATCTCTTTATTCATACTGCAACAATGTTTGTCATTATCTTTTATAGATAACATATAAATTATAGTTTATCTTATTTTGTATGAAAACGATAAACGACCTTCGCTCTCAAATGTCTGAATACCTTCCTTTATGATTTGATATAAAATATCATACCTGTGCAAGGTAATGGCTTCAGTATTTAAAATAAAGTCAAAACAGACGTGTGAATTGTGTTATTTTATTGTTATTATTGTATACGTGTTATTTTATTGTTTCAGCAAATGTATGTACAAGGGGTGTTGTCTCCCGTTGGGTCGATCGTTGCAATGGCAATTTTTTTTTTCAATCTATAATTACATTAAAAATATCAAATTTTGCAATTGATCGCAACTTGTTTGATGTACATGATGAACATGAACTATACGAATTTAAGGTTCTTCAAAATAAACGTAAAGGTCCAAAACGTGGGGTGAAAATTTGTTTTAAACAACATTGGGACGAAGTCGCGGTAGAGAGCTATTATATATATATATATATTATGAAAAAAAAACGGTTTTATTTTTTAGTTAGTAGTTTAGATTTTTTAACGATATTTTAAAATACTACAAAAAATTTAGAAAGGCATAAGATACTGGAATGGTATCAGGTGGGCTGCTTGTCACAGCATTGCCACATCAGAACATTAAGATGAATCAAGATTATAAATATCCCTTATAATGGTCCGAAGCAAAAGATTAACGCGCGTTCGTGTTTCATTAACTCATCATCAACCTGGAACATTATAAATTTCATTAACGCTAAATTCCAAGGAAAATATTGAATAACAAGCGACCGGCCCTGGCTTCGCTTCGATCACGACGTGCCTTTATTTACATACGATTTTATTGACTTTCTTTAAATCTATGGTCAGGATCAGATCAGATTAGTAAAGGTTTGAAAAGTGAAACCAGAGAAAAATTGCGTAGTTACCTCTGATTAAAGGTCGTCACATGGTTTCATCGGGAGCTGACCTAGTTTGTAATATAATGATTGCTGGCTGAGAACGTTTCAAAGCCGGCGGTATTCGTGTAATCTCATTCAAGAAATGAGAACAACATCTGGGCATTACTTTATTATAACATTGCTGATGTTCCCATATTTTTTACTTATCTGAAATGTACAGAGCAATAATGTGACCGAATCTGCCGCGCGCGCGATGCCAATAAATATGTATGTATGTATGTATGTACATATATGAATCCTCATTAGTTACTGATAGTATTAATCACTATAAATTATAAACAATTACGGCGAATATAAAACAATTTGTCGCCCAATTTCAGTTTCAAAGGTGGTTTTTGCATTTATTTATGAAAAATCAAATAAAAGACTGAAAATGGCGGAACATAAATTAGGATAAAACGATGACATTGATATCTTTGGCAAATAAAACTACGCTTTATAAACAATCTCTTTAATTTTGTTTCTATCAAAAGAAATTCCACTGATTTTTGATCATTAGTCAATTCGTCGTAAAAACTATCGTTACAATATTGTATTTACAGTATATAGTGTAGAGGAGGTGTGGAGGAGGTGTGGAGGAGGTGGGGAGGAGGTGTGGAGGAGGTGTGGAGGAGGTGTGGAGGAGGTGTGGAGGAGGTGGGAAAGAGGTGTGGGAGAGGGGGGTGTCAGCGGGGCGGCGGCGGCGGGCGGGGCTTGGCAGCTGCGTAGGCAATCTCCGAGAGGCGCACGTCGATGGGCGCGCGCTCGTCGTACAGCGTAGGCGCTTGCAGGATGATGCCGGCCGAGCCCACGACTACGGCCAGCGTGAAGATCCACAGGAACAGCCGGTCCAGCACCATCGCCACGTACTTCCAGTCCTCTTTCACCTTACGCCACAGTACATCATACTTCTAACCGATCACGGAAACGAATAACTTGCCTTGCTAACATTACTTGTGTTTACAGTAAAAGCTTTTTGACTCGTGTTGCTTAGTATCGAAATAATCAACTATACAGTTGGACGGCAATTGTTGTGTTGGAGGTAATCTGTCAGAGACCGACATATCATAACGTGCGACACATCGCTCGTCATCATTTAAAGAACATACATCGCTAAACATGGGTCACTCGATTTTTGTCATATTTATCAAAATTGACAATATCATCTTTAGCTCGATAAGCACTTACCCTAGTGGATTCCTCTTCTTTGCGCGTCTGGTCCGCGATGTAGTTGATGCCGTCGATGGCCTTGTGCAGCTCCGGGCAGCGGTGCCACCGGCGCAGCGCGGCGCACAGTGCGGGCGCGTCGGCCGAGCCCGCGCCGAGCGGCCCCAGCGCGCCCGGCGGCGAGCCCGGCCGCGAGCCCGCCCGCGCCGCGTGCAGCCGGCACACGCCGCCCGCCCCGCTCTCCGCACACGTCAGCTCCATGGCCTCGCGGGCCACTATGCCCGCACTTCGAACACGACTTCGTTTCAAAATGCGTTTCAAATAGCTTATGTGCACATATGTACGAGTATGTAGTTGTGATGGCAAGTTTTGTATTGTATTCGTATTCGTATCGGGGGGCGGGGATAGGGGGGAGACTCACAAGCGGCTCCGGTGCGGGTCGAGGCGGCAGTGCGGGCGCCGCATGACCAGCAGACGCGGCAGCACGTGGATGAAGACGCGGCGCACCCAGGGCGCCATCGTGTGCGTCTGCGGCGACCTGAAGTGCACGTTCAGCACCACCACAGTCACGCAGATGCTGCGCACACAGACACACGCGCACGGATACAGACCCGCTATTCGTACGACAAATCGACCGGCGCGATAGCATCAGACCGAAAGACGGACCTGAAGGTGTCGAGGATCATCGTGAAGAGCACGAACTTGCCGAGCAGCGGCACGACGAGCGAGGTGGGCGGGATGATCTCCGCCAGCAGCAGGAAGAACACCGTCAGCGAGAGCAGGATGGAGATGGAGAGCGAGACCTTTTCGCCGCTGTCCGAGGGCAGGTAGAAGACGAGAACGGTCAGGAAGGAGATGCCCATGCACGGGATGATCAGGTTCACCGTGTAGAAGAGCGTCTTGCGGCGCATCGTGATGTTGAACGTTATGTCCAGGTAGGGCTCGTCGCAGCACGTGTAGAACTTCTCGTTCCTGCACAACACAACACGACACGACACTTGCAGTGTCAGAGGCCACCGGTACCCTCGATCGTACTCTCGACCGCACGATTCAAATACTTAACAACTGCGTATGTATCTACTATATGTGTATGTGTAATCACTTATTTGTATGTACTTATCAATTTATATTATAGAGGTGAACTTGTTCAGACACATTTTGTTTTGTAACAATTTCTCGTTTCCATTAAATTCAGGTAAACATCTGCTCGTTTTATTGTATTATATTATCGTATCGTATCGTATCGTATTGAGCTGTTCGATTACGAAGCACATATGATATTATTGTTGATTTCGCTTCTATAGAAATGATAGCGGGCAGCCTGTCAGGTGTGTTGAGCTTGTACACGAACATTTCTTGTGACCAGGTAAACGCAAAATATTAAAACAATATTATTATTTTATTACTAAATATAATGAATATAACACCTGACTGCAGGTACTTCCAGGATGTCCCATTCCACTGAAGTGTAGAACTCGGAGAGGTCGACGCCCAGCTCGACGACGTTGGTGCCGCGCGCCTCGTCGATGTGCCGCAGATCCACCTGCACAGCACACGGCACGCTCATTGCACACACGCCGCACACACGCTGCACACACGCTGCACACACGCGGCACACACGCGGCACACACGCGGCACACACGTCACTCTCAGGCTAACCTGGAAGCCGTCGTATGTCCACGAGCCGAACTTCATGACGCACGTCTGCTGGTCGAAGGGGAAGTACTCGACGTCGATCTCGCAGGAGGACTTGTAGATGGCGGGCGGGCGCCACTCCACGCGGCCCGTGTAGTTCAGTGTCGCCTTGGTGGCCAGCGTCACCTCGAAGTTGCCGTCGGCGCTGCTCGCGGTACAAACACGCGGTAAATACACGCGGTACATGCACGCGGTAAATACACGCGGTACATGCACGCGGTAAATACACGCGGTACATACACGCGGTACATGCACGCGGTAAATACACGCGGTACATACACGCGGTACATACACGCGGTACAAACACGCGGT